GGGTCCCCCTCTTCCGGGTGTCCCCATGGGGCAGGTTTGTGGGGGCCTGGGAGAGGCCACCGAGGATTCCCCCGGCCAGGCTGGACCTGACCGCCCGCTCGGACGCTGCCGCGGCGCAGCTCATTGACTGGATCCACCAACCCACCGCCCTGACCCACGCCTGCAACGGCCTCCGGACAGAGATCACCGGGAGGGTAGGTGCCCTTCTCTGGGGTCCAGGGACGGCACCCCAGCCCACGAGCAGATTTCAGGGGCATTTTGTAGCACCCCAGGCCTGCGCCAGGCCAGGGAAGGGCAGGAGAGGGGAGAAGGCAGCAGAGATGGAGCCGCACGGGGGAAGTTGCTGCTCCCTGTGGCCCTTCCCTCTCTCCCACGGGATGTTTCAGACTTATTCCTCACACATCCCCAGTTTGCACCTGCTGGTAGATCTGACCGGGTGCACTTGGCCTGGCAGCACCCAGTGCTTGGGCCATTATCTCCCCCTGCTCTGGGGATGAGGCTCCCTCGGCTTCACCCCAAATCTGGGCTCGTCTCCCTGCTGCTGGCTGGGTGCCCGGGCCACCGTGGCCGCTGCTGTGCCAGCAGGAGGAGCTCACAAGCTGCTCTTCTCCTCCCCAAGAAAAGCATCCAAGAACAGGGGCTGCCCTGATGTGGAAAGGTTCCCAGAGCCCCAGCACCTCTCTGCTTCTCCCTGGGGACTGCTGCAACAGTGCCTCATCCCCAGGCAGAGCAGTCCCTGCCCCAAGTGCTGCGGTGAGCCCAGCACAGAGCCCAGCCCTGCAGCGAGCCCCTCCACGGCAGCGAGGGCTGGCCCAGACCCACCTGCCCCAGCGTTTCTGTCCGGTTCATTCGCCCCCCCACTTCTCCCGCTGCCCTCCGTCCCCATCTTTGCACCATGAGCATAGCACACATCTCCCTCACACAGCCCCAAGAGCCTCTGTCGGATGCACAAATGGCCAAGGAGCCTTCCCGAAGGAGCAGTCGGGCATCCAGCAAGGGCATCCAGCCTGCTGGGGCCTCTCCCGGGGCACTGCTGGAGGAGCCGCCTGGCCCTGGAGCAGGAGTCATGGCCACGGTGCCACTCTCCCGTGAACCCGGCTGCGTGGAGGTCCAGCTGAAGGCAGACGCATCTCCAGAGCCCCCACCTGCACGACAGCCTTGCTCCCAGCAGGCCAAGCATGGGGGAGAAACCCCTCGCTCCCACCAGCCTGCTGTGACAGACCTCCGATGCAGGGATGCCGGCTCACCCAAAATCCCAGCCTCGATCCACCCTGCTCTGAAGGGGGCCAGCCCTCGGCAAGCCACCCCGCTGCAGGTCTCTGCTCCCAGCCGGGGGGGCTCTGCAGAGGCTGAGCCCTGGGGGAGCAGATCCCCCAGGCTGAGGGCATCACCTTGTGCGAGATGGGGGAAAGCCGATCCCAGAGGAACAGCCACAGGCATGAGAGCTGGGCAGCCGTCTTGCGCAGGGCTCTGAGCTGGCTTTGCTCTCCTCCTAAGCGAGGCTGACACTGGGACAGCAGCACCCCACAGCCCGCACTTGTTTTCATGGCGATTGGAAAAATAAAACTTAAAAAAAAAAAAAACAAACCAAAAAAACATGTTTGCTTTCAGTAGCTCAGGGCAGAGCCCCAGGCAGGTCCAGGCTGCGTGAGTCTGCACGGTGCTTCGGTGTTGGACATGGTACCCTCTCGGGGTTGTAGCTTTGCTCGTCTCATTTAATAGTGTCTCGTGCTGGAAATGTGGGACCAGCTGCAGGCCTGGAGCCACTCACGGCTCACCCAGCCTCTCCCTGCATTCAACAGCAGAAATCCCACCGCTGCAGGCTGGTTTCATCCATTCCTCAACCAGTGTCTTGTGGGGGGAAGAGAGGCAGGTCTGGCCTCATTTCCCATCACTGGGAAAGCGGCAGTGGTGGGACTGCCCCAGCCATGGGGCAGTGCTGCCAGCACCCCACCACTGCTTGCAAAAGGGAAATAAAGTCTGTGAAGTGCAGCCGAGAGACACAGCGAAGTCTAACTTCATTAGCAGCTGGCACGCACCACAGAATAGCTCATTAGCGACCAGAAGTGGGTTCCAAATAAAAGCCGTTTCAGCAACTGCAGGAAGTAATTGGTTTAAAGCTAAAATACATTTATTTTCACCCAGGAGAAGCTCTCTCCTGCTGGGGCATGCGGCTACACCGAACAGGATTCGGCAGTAAGTCTTCTCCCTCTGCCATGCTGACAGCAGATGGTTTTTCCTCCTTTGTGATTGCTCATCTCCGCGGCTCCATGTCCCCTCAGGGCTGCAATGCCTTCTGCTAATTAAAGGAGTGGCAGATTTGTTAGGTCCAGCAGGCAGGCAGAGGAGCTGAGCAAGTGGGAGGGACGGGGCTCGATCAGTGGCGGAAGTAAAAGCAATTGCATGGAAACAAGCCTGGCCAGCGCGAGGGATCTTGGAGAACGTTATTGGACCAGCTCCCCTCCTGCCACTTCAGGTCTCCATCAAAAGCCCAATGAGGAGAGCAGATGTTCCCCATAAAGCCGACATTTTGCCAGCTGATGATGTGAATGGGAAGGAAGATCCTTCCTGAAACAGAGCCGAGACCCTCGCTGGGACAGGAAAGCAGGACAGAGCTCCTGACAGGGAGTATCCTCTTTGCAAAGCTTTGCTCCCACTGGCAAACGTTAAAAATTGGCCAACTTGAGCAAAAACCTCCTGGACCTCGCACAGGCATTTGTACCAGCAGAAACAACTGCAGTCCAGGTAGGAAATTCCTTTCTGCCAGGCTGGCAGCATTTCACAGAAAATTCAACCCTGCACCCGCCAGCTCCAAAGGTCAGGCACTACACCTGCCTCTAAGCACTGCAGTTTGTTTTTCCATCGCCTGGCTGGGAAGTGGCGACTCCCTGGATCTGAGAGAAAAACACTCCTTCCCGGCCGACTTCGCCTCAGTGAAGTGTTGAGCACAGACGACAAACTCAGCGGCTCAGTGTGAAGGATCAAGGCTGCTTTATTGCAAAGGTGGACGAGTGACAAGTGCTGAAACAAGAGCTGGTGGCAACGCACAACAGGAAAACCACGTCCCTCCCATCGTGCCAGAGACGGAGTAACTTCCTAACAGGGGAAAATCAGATGTTTTCACTGGCAGAAGCTCTAGGGCCCCAAAGCTGGCTGAATCACGACATTTCAAGGATAAGGAGTGGGGACTGAACCTCTATAGGTCCGAGCACCCCATCCCAGCTGGCTCGTGCTGCCAGGCTTGGAAAGCACAGGGTCCCGCAGCCGGTGCGGCACCTGGATGGCACTGATCACCCATTCCCCTCACGGGTGCTGGCGTCAGCAGCTCCGCCTGCTCTCTCTGCCCTGGCACGGGCTGCCTCAATGGAGATGCTTGTCCTGCGCCAGGCCTACACACACACTACAGCCGTCCCCGAGCCCACTCAGACCTGCGGGGACACAGATTCAGCATTGTCTCAAGCTTGGGGACAGAGCAGAGAAAAGAAACGCCCTGGAGTTTGCCTGGAAGAAGCTAGGCAGCTCTCCGCGAGTGATTGAACGTGCTGGGATCGGCTGTTAATTTGTGCCCGGCTTTCCGTGGCTGCTTGGGCGTGTGGCATGGCAGGAGACAGCCCAGCCTGCCCCCGCACCATGAAGAGGGGGTTAGCACATCACCCCGGCTAATGAAAAGCAACTCTGATCATCCACGAGATTTGCAAGGAGGGGAAACACCATCTTCCCCAAAGATTTGTAGTTGCTCGGGAGCCTGTCGTTTCGCCTCCCTCTCCATGCATGTTTTGAGGCAGGCCAGGACAGAGCAAATCTTCCAAAAAAAGGGAGGCCATCAACGAGGAGGTACCTTCACATCGCCGCGAGGCCCGCGGAGGAGAGCAGGGTCAAGATCAGGACCAGCACCCCGGACTGGTTGACCTGGGGGATCCTGAAGCCCTTCCCCATGTCCCATGCCTGCAGGAGAGAAGAGACACAGCAGAATTAATTCAACAGGGCTAGGACAGTCCCTGATGGGGGATGTGCCAGACACAGGCAGAAAGGCACCATCTTTCTGATAAAAGCTAGCAAGACCACCCCAAAAAATAGCCTTTGGACCACCAGGTACAGACCAGAGGGATGGCTACAAGCATCCATTGCTGCAGGGCAATGGGCAGGGGTCTCCCTGGGTGCAGGCACGCGTGCACCGTGCCAGAGGAAGTTTATCCCCCACCAAGCCCCCGCATCTATCAGCAAAGCCGCCTGTGAGCTCCCCCTAATCCCCAACAGCCGCAGCGCACCAGGTTCACTTCAAAAGCGGCAGCTGCTCTCCGCTTGCTTCTCTCCTGCTGACAGAAATAGGTTATAAAGCATGGCGCAAGCCGCAGATCTGAGGCAGCACTAACATCCCTGCGGGCAGAGCTGAGCAGGTGGGGATGAGCCTCAGTCCCCAGCACCTCTGTGTACGCCCCTGGGTAACGGTGCGAGCCATAAAGCCCAGGCTGAGCCCAAATGGCAGGGAGAGATGCTGGAATGGCACCCCGGAGCTAGGTGCCCTCGGTTCCCAGGTATCGCAGGGGGCTTTACACCTCTCACCTGACTTTGTCCAAGTGAAAGCAGGGTAGCTGAGGACAGCCTGGGGAGTGCACACCTCCTCCCGGCCTGCCAGCAAGCCCCCAGGGCTCAAAGCAGAGAAGCACCTGGGGTAGAGGCACTAAACTGAACGTGTTCCCTGTTGGCTCCCCTTCTGTCATCGATGGGCTGCACTGCTGAGCGCAGCTGGGGGCCAACACTGCCAGTTTCCTTCTCAGACAATTTAATTGGCTTCCTACTATATATGTCCAGTCAGAGACTTCAGCACGCATTCGACTCACGACACTCTGAACAAGCAGCCGGTTATGACTGCTCCATTTGCCCGACAGCGTCTCCACGAGCGAGTGGGGCTCAGCCAGCTGCAGGCCCGGTGCTCCGAGACCTCCTCCGACACCAAGTGCTTGAAAAAGCGGGTAACAAGCACTCACACCACTCCTGGCTGGCCACTGTCCACCCCGAGGACCTGCAGAGGGGGCTGCTCTTGCTGCACACTGCTGTTGTTCACCCCAACGGCTAGGCCAGGCACCTCCCGGCATGCTGACATGAGCACCTCGTAATGGCTGCTCTCAAGTACAGGATACAACATCCAACAGTGCTCAAGTCCCGTGTTTCCACACTGGAAACACTGGGAGCCATCAGCACCCACAGTGTGAGCCCACATCTGCAGCGTGGCTTCACACGTGATGCTCCCCCCGCCCAGAGCAGAAGGATCATGTCACACTCCAGGCCAGCTGCCTTTGCAATTTGCTCCCGTAAAACCTAACCTATCTGGAGCTACAGAAAACACAAAACCAGCTACAAAAAGCAGCACGTCTTGTACTGTTCCCAACAAGAAACTCTCAGCTCTCCAGCTCCCCCTCCTTCGTCAAACACAGGAAGCTCGGCTAAACGGAGCTGCTTGTTCCTCACTTCAGCCCAGGGCAAACATCACAGGTTTCTTTCTGCACAGGCAGCACCATCTCCTCTGCCACATGTCTTCTGGGCTCATTAAATACTATAAAGCACTTGGAAGATCACAGTGCAACGGCTGCATGACAAGGGCGAGATAATGAGCAACGGGTGGCACTTCTGCAGGGCTCGAGCCCGCGGTTCTGCGGAGGCATCCCCTGGCTGCAATGCTGCTCCCGCCACCCCTCGTCCATCTCCTGGAGCTGAGGAGATGCGGGGGGATGCTTCAGCCAGCTGTGCCACCCAGTGAAGTATCAGCGTAGTGATGCTCTTTGCAACTTTAATGTAGCCAAAACTAGCATCAAGGTTCTGAAGCACTTGAGGTGACTAATTCCCATTTCCAAGGGCACCTTCCCAGATGCCGCACCCAGCGCTCCCACAGCCGGCAGACACTTCCCTTCCCTTGCACCCCCAAACACACGCACGGCCCCTCGCAGGGGCTACTCACAAGGTGTCGGACTCCATTCCAGGTGTGGTAGGAGAGGGGGAATGCCAGAGCAAACTTAGCAGAGTAGATGAGAGCTGGCCCCAGGCTGAGCGACTTCACCATAGCCAGGTAGTGGGGAAACTGTTCTGGGAGCAGCAGGGCAGCCAGACCAAAGAGGGAGACTCCTGAGAAAGACAAAGCCCGCAGGTCAAGCCAGCAGAAGCGTTACCAACACCTTGCTACCCGCAAAGAGCCCCAGGCCACCTCTACATCTCTGGTTTGGTGACACGGCCTGAACCACCATCAGCTCATGGCAGCCTGCGGAGAAAGGAGGAGGGAGAAGGACTCCGCCCATCTGGTGGCAGAGCCAGCTGCACTGTGACAGTGTACCCTGGGGTGCTCAGGACTCAAACTGGGGCAGCAACACACCGAATCTGGGTCCTGCATTACAACACCCAGAGACCAAACTGGTGTGAGCTCATGCAATTGCAGCCAAACCAGCCCAAATTCAAGGTTAAAGGGACAACGAAGTTCAGAAACAAAAGGTGGCAGCTCTTCAACAAAGTCCCCAGATCCACATCTCAGGACAGAAACCCCTCCGCCACCAGCCACTGACACAGGCAGCGATGTAGCGAGGCTGTCTCAGTGGGGACCAGCAAAGGAACCAGCAGACAAAGAGACAGCCTGACATGCGTGGCTGCGCTAGCTGCAGGAGCCGCAGCAGCCTCTCCTCCACATTTATAGGCCAAGAGGGTTTCTCCAGATGATGCTGCCAAAAGAATGGGAACAATCACAGCCAGCAGTCAGCCAAGTCGCGATTCACCCTCTGCTCAATAGCGCCTGATTACACTGCGGCATGCTAGCTCAAGCACCTCGGCTGAGGCCGGCACTGGCAGCGCGAGTCAACCAGCTGCTTCCTCGCTCAGCCACTCGTCTCCTCAATGGCCTTTGTGTTTGCCCTGCAAGAAGCGCAGGAAGTCAGAGGCTCCTGTAATTACAGGCCTTGACGGAGAGGAGTTGAACACTTCTCCCTCCTCCTCCTGGCTGCTGAGCTGTGGTCGGTGGAAGCGATGTTCCTTCGTGCTCAGTCGGCCTGGGAAGGGGACGATTTCCCCTCCGGCAGAGGCTGATGGATCGGAGCAGAACGGCAACAGTGAACCTGCCAGCTCGGCCCATCTGACAGCAAACTGGATGGGGACTGCAGCCCACGGGGCCAGGCATGTCCCGAGCTCCTGGAGATAAGATCCCAAAGCCGGGTGGTGCCAGCATGGCTGCCATGCAATGCCCTGGCTTCGCGCATGGAGCAAGGCACGCAGCCACCCCGAAGGAGCCAGCTGGGCTCACAGGATGCACGCAGGCAAAGTCACCTTGCCGTGCTCAGAGCAGGCAGCCATCAGCTGCTCTCCCACAGAGGATGTGTGCTGCTCTTCGCGAGGCAGAGCTGGACACAAGCTAGCTGGCCTGGGAGGAGCAGAGCCTGGGGGCAGAGCCGAGCCCCCACCAGGTCTCTGCCGTGCAGATATGGGAGCAGGAGGGCATATGGGTGCCCTTTTCTAGGAGCCCAAGCCCTCAAGGGAGGCCAGGCTGGAGTCCTCGCTGCTCCCTCTCACTCTGCCGAGTGAAGAACACAAGTCCTCAGTCCTGCACATCTTTTCTGAGTCCCTTCACTCTCTGCCCTTCTGCGAACACCAACCCAGCTCCGCCCCCTCAACAGGGAGCCACCAGAAAAGCACCTTCCTGCTGCCATGAGAGGGCATTAATGGAAATAAAACAGCCTTTCACAGTTAGATATCCTATCACTTAGTCAAACCATGCAAGTCAAATTGCTGGAGGGAGTTTATCGGTTTTGATGATGGCACCGCCTTCTCCCCCACCGGGATCTCTGGGAAAGCAGCTGCCACTCCCAGGAAGCTGAAAAACTCCACCTGTGCTAAGGAAAACCCTCTAAGCTCTGCCTGCCTGGTAGTCTTTCCCTCACACAGGGTCTCCTGTAAGGCTAAACCAGCAAAAAACAGCCCCAGAAGAGAAGGGCTGAGAACTGGAGCAGCAGATCGGCCTTCTCCAGGCTGGGGAAGGCCCCAAAGAAAGCAGCCAGGCCAGGCCACAGTGCTGCAAAGGCTTCGAAGGCTTTTACATACGGGGGAGCATTGCTGCCTTTGCGGGACTGGAGCCACTCACAACGCAAGAGGACCCAGGGACAGAGAAATGGGGATGGGGAGATATTCAGGGGATGGAGAAAGGGAGAGGACAAAGCACATGTTTCCCAGGAGAAAACCCATTCCTGAAGCTGGGGACAGAGGAGAGAAAACGTCCGCCTGTAGTCACGTCTCCAAATCAGTCAGAGGGGTCTTCCCTCCCGCAGCCCCCGCCTTGTCGCCAGAAGCAGGTGGGAGATGCACGCACCTAAGCTCAGCGCAACACCGGTGCCCCGGTGCATGATGGACATCGCCATGGGCAGGGACCACCTGCAAAACAACCAATCTCGTCAGCAAAACAGGGCACAACACCAGGGAGGCCTCCAAGGCTGCGGGACAAAGCACAGCCCATCTGTTCCTAGAGAGCTCTGTGCTGCTGGGCGGGTATTTCTGTACTCGGAGTTATTCAAGGAATCCAGTCAGAGCAAAAGGGGAGAGACAGGGGAATTTGCAGAGGCAGCTTGGGAATGGCAAATGCCACTGGCACGGGTTTGGGAAGGGGAAGGGTGTCTGCTGAGAAAGCTTAAAGGGAGATGAAACAGGAGAAGACTGTAACGCTCCTGCAGTTGAGGAACAAAGGGGCAGGGTTTGGGCATCCAGGCTCACGAATAAACGAGAGAACCTGGAAAAGTGATGGAGGCGGCCCCAAAGAAGCCGGCACCTTTCTGAGAAGGGAATCCGAGAGCCCCAAGTTGGCCTCCTGCCTCCACCCCCGAGGACCGCCAACTCTGCGGCGGGACGCGCTGTTCTGCGCAACCACCCTCCATGGAGGCAGCTGCCTTTCAACGGCACGTCTGGAAACGCTGCCCTGCCCGAGCACCCCAAAGCGCAGCTCTGGGGGGACTGTACCCCTCCGCTACACCCTGTATGAAAACAGTTGAGTGTCATCAGCTCTGTGGGAGAGCCTGTGATTCCCACACACAGCTCAGACCGTTCACAGCACAATGTAGAAGGTCTCCCCATCCTCCACCTGAAGTGACAGTGGGAACGGACAGTGGGTGCCTCCGGGGACAGGGCTGTCGTGTGCCAGAGCCCGGAGGTGCCCCAGTGCGAAGCTGAGGAGGCCAAGAAGCTCTTACTTGTAAATGGTGACATGAGGGGACAAGGGACGATTGGACTTGGTGTTCTTCTCCCAGAAGTGGGCCATCTCCTCCTTGGCCGTTGTTCCCATCGGGACAATGCTGCAAAAGAAGAGGAGACGGGAGGTGCAGAGAGATGGGCAGCATTTCACCCTTGCCCACTCCACCAGGCTTTGCTGCAGCAGCTTTCCGTCTCGCAGGACGTGAGCTCCCAGCTGACCTTGACAGTACAAAGAACGGCTCCAGCTGTGCGTGGACACAGACAAGGAGAAGATCGCTGCCAGCTTTCCCGAGTGACTAATAATAATAAGCAGGATGGGAAGCTGCTGCACTGGAATCCACTCAGCCAGCAGAGCCGAGCCACGCCCCCCCCCGGCACCACCCAAATCAGGGTACAGGATATCAGATAACACATTATATAATGCTGATAACATGCAACCTGCTCTTTACTGCCATGGTAATTGCACGCTGTACCAAATAAAGAGCTTGTAATTTAATGTTCCTGAGATTACACAGCAATTACACTTAGAGCCCAATTTAGCAGAAAATAACTATTTTTCCCTAAGCCCAGCAGCACGAAGGACAGGAACAAGAAGGCGTCTGTGGCTCCCAGCCCTCCTCAGGTGCAAAGCTGTCATGCAGAGTGGCACAGAGGGGTGACAGGGGTACCACCACCCCTGCAAGAGACCCAGGCCCGCCTCAGCAGCCAGCCAGGCTCTCCCTTCACCCACTTACATCCCCTGTAAATAGGCCGTGCCCTCGTGGTGGCATGAGGCGGTAAGTGCCCAGCTAATACATGGCACTGATTGACCAAAATTACTAAGCGGATGGAGCGCACACATGCCCCAAAGCCTTAGACAGGGTCCCTCAGGGAAGAACTTAATCCCGTTACTCTCAGTAAAACCTCGGACTCACTGTCGCACAGAAAGGCTGGGGCCAAGCCGAGCCAGCAGGCATCGCCGACCAACACATCTGCAAGAGAAGACAGAAAGGCTTTGTGAGTGCCAAATAAACGCCTGAAAATGTCAGCAAGATGGGGCAGGGGAGGGGATTTGCCACTTCAATGATTCGTATCTTAACATGAAAGGATCTGGACTGTTCCTCCACAAATCCTCTCTCTCTTACGCTGAGCTCTTAACTACAGTCTCTAGATGCTGCCTGGGGGTTCATTCTTTACAACACCCTGTAATTAAGTCTGCTCAGCTGTAATACCTTGTTTGTAAGACAGACATAAACAGCACTCTAAGCTCACAGCTACATTGAGGCAGTCCATTTTTCACTCTCACTACAGCAATTATTGGGGCAGACAGCACACGTCCCCAGAAAGGCGCATCTGCCAAGCTCCACAGAAAGGGCTGGTTCAGGCCGCCACTCTCCACCCGTCCAAGACGAAGACATCAACCCCCCTTCCTCCAAACACTTGTTTTCATTACAGCGTTTCGCCACTGCCACTCGTTAAGCTCCAAGCACCGAAGAGATGGGAGGTCACTGTCGCAGCTCAGCACACGCAGCATTTCAGCCGCGCCGAGGCTCGGGGCGGGAGGTAAAAAGGGATTTTGTGGTGCCTGAAGGAGTGGGTGCCACTCTCTGCGGAGCGATTGTAGTAACCACGACTCTGACATTCAAGGGCATCTCTCCAGGAATGGGGAGGAACAGGCCCCCGGCCCAGCGCAGCTCGAGCGTTTGCAGATGTGGGCTGGAATCTGCGGCGCCCGCTCCTCTCCAGGACAAAGCCTAACAAGCAGCGCTGCCTTTCCTGACGACATGACAAGAACAAGGTGTGGAATAACATTTCATGTGCTCATCTGCAGCACAGCAACAAACACTAATTAATCTTCTCAAACACACAAGCGTCTGTACCAGCATCTCCCACTGTTTCATTTAACAGTAGATAAACGAAGCTCTGCTGCTCTTCAGTTGTCCTACAGCCGGTCTCGAGAACGCGGTAGGAAAAACATCTGGAGGTCAGCTCTTCACCAGGTGTAAATCCAAAACAAAAGTCATTTTTATTAACCACTCCGAGTTCCTGTGTAAATGATCGTTAGGATGTTTCCTTTCAAAATCCTCCCTCACGTTCAAAGGCTGGACTTGAAACACAGCAGGTTTTTAGGAAGATGTCCTGGCTGGATGCATGAATTTTCGGCACTGCAGAATCCACCCCATGCTGCAGTGCAACATTTCTGATTGGAAACCCTTCTTTGAACCGTCTCTAATTTATCAACACCCATCCCTCAACGCGGCATGACAGCAAGACCGAGAACTTCAGCCAAACCTCCACCAAGCCCACCATTGTGTCCGAGAGCAGCCGACAACGGATCCCCAGAGAAAAGTCTCAGGAAACACACGGGAGCACCCCCCACCACATGCAGCTCACACACTTCCCAAGCCAGAGGGTTTCAGTCCGTAATAAATGGCTTTTTTCAACATGAAATCGCATTGCCACCTCCTGACCCCCCCAACTTCCAACACAAATTCTCACGGCTTAACCAGATGCAGAGAACCAGCTCCCTGCTTGTCCCGAGCCCCCGCGGAGCAGCGCCGGCCACCACCTCCCGGTTCTTGGGCAGGGGACAGGAGGTGAATGATAAATCTCTACCCACAGACCACTGATGATTTATACACCTCGCTCATGCCCTCCTCAGTCCGCTTTTCCAGATTAAAAGATCAAACCTACTGCATGTCTCCTTCTACGGAAGCCACTCAACACCTCTTCTGGGGGCTGGGGCGGTGGAAGAGGGAGGGCTGGCTCCGAATCACATACAATATTCAAAACAAGAATAAAACCCACAACGTGTTTACATTTTTTCAAAGCTAAACTCCCCAGCAAGAACTCCCCATCCTCTTGACTCAAGGTTAATATTTTTTTTTAGATGCAAAGCATTACATCTTGCTTCAGTGCAAAGACTATTGCTTGCAAAACACAGCCCCCCAGCTAAGCAATCAACGTCACTGTACCAAGGACCTGTCCTCTTCATTATTTATCATTCTCTAAGTTGTTGTATCTTCTCCAGATCTTCCTCCATTAACTTGCATTTTCTTCCAGATCACTGATAAACATGGGTTTTTAAGAAGAAGAATTAGCCCTAAAAGAGGATCCTCCGGACCGCTGCTGAGAGCTTCCCACAGCACCCCAGCCAACTCCCGCTCTGCCCCACGCCCGAGGAGGGTGCAAAGACTCAGGGGACCCCCGGACAGTGTTAATCATCGAGGACTTTACAGAGCACAGCCACTTGCACAGGGCTGGAGAAGGACAAGTGTAAAGCGGCAGCTCAAACAAGACGCCTATAAACACCCAGCAGTGGAACAGCACTGGCTGCTCACGCCCCACCATGCAGCTCCGTTAGCTCAGGAGGAGAATTTCTAGAGTTGCGAGGCACGGCTCTGGAGCAGCATCAGCTCAGTGTCATGTCAACAGACGTCGTTAACATTTATCCTGCAAGACAGGTCTATAAAAATCACTCGGATTTCGCTAGGGAGGAGGCAAACGAGAAGCGATTATATATGCTTTTTCATCTGACAAGCAGAAGCAAACACGAGATGAAGTTATCAGGCGCAGGCTTCAAACCAGCGCGAGCGACTTCTCTCGTTTTTCAAGCAGCAGCTGCGGGGCACCCTCCCAAGCAGGGATCGGCCCCCCCCCGCCTCTCTCGCTGCTGGCAGATCCTGCCTTTAAATAAACCCGCGCCTGCAACAAAGAGCTTTCCACAAAAGTATGATGGCTCCAACCGTCATAGAAATGCCACTAGAAAGAGAATAAATTAAGAGAATGAAATCTCACTGTCTCCAGGCTGATATCAAAGAGGAGAACGTTGGAAACGGGGGCTGGGAGGGGGATGGTCACAGCCTCGAGGAGGCACAAAACTTTCCAGTGGGGGTGGTAGATGGGAGGAGGCACCTTCAGGCCAAGCAAACACAACACCCTTCCCCATCGCTGCTCAGCACCACGGGCATGGTGGGACATACTCCCGCACGGGACCACTGAACTACAAAGCCACCAGCACCCTGTCAGGTGGCCCTGTGAGGCAGGGGGGCACCCCCCCAGCGCCGGCTGGGTGGGAACGCAGATGTTTGTCCACCCAGTCAAGGCCACCAAGAGCAAGGGATGGGGAGAGACTGCACGCAGGGAGCGGGAAGCAGCTGGACCGCCCTTCTCAGCAGCGATAAACCGACAGCCTCGCCCACAGCCGGGCTGATCTCAGCCCCACAGAGCGTCCAGGCCTCGGTTCCCCCTGCCGCAGCCCAAGGGGGTCCAGGCTCCTGCTCTGCCCCGGCTCCGCACTTCACCATTCGCACCCCGGGGGCTCGCTGCGGCGGAGGGGCAGCACGGTTCAGCCGCCCGAGGGGGCGATGCCTCACCGGCTCCCTGCAGCCGCTGGACCGGGCGGGGGGAGCGCAGGGACACGGCGCC